TACAGTTTATGCTGACTTAGCAACAATACTGTGCTAAATAAAGCATCCCCATTAGCTACTCTCCCGCATGCAGTTCCTTCTGTGTCTCACTGCACTGAAGCGTGGGTAGGGGAAGAAGAAAGGTCTCTTGACAAAGTCAGGATATCCTCTAGGACATGGCTAAAAGTATTATACTTTAATTCAAAATCCACACAGATCCATTTGTACATAAATGCTGTCAGATGGCATTGTAATGGATACTGCATAACTTTAAATTGATTTCCTTTTGATGTGATAAAAACATCTTATGAAAGAGATGTTGAAACGTGGCTTTTGATGTAAAGTAACATAATTTAGATCTTAAAGTAGAAAACCTTTTGTTGATAGTAGTTTATTCGATTCAGTGCATGTACCAAGCATTATTTGCTGTAGGTTATAAATTAGCTTTGAATCAGCTATAATTCATAAATCGTTACTTATGACTGATTTATGGGAAATCTCATTAATTGCAATAGCAACAAGACCTTGAAGTAAGCAAGAAGTAGAATGTAAAACAGCCTGAGGATTGAAAAAGGACAGACACATATACTCTACAATTAAGAGGAATGTATCATATTTGCATATGTTTTACTAATACATAGTGTGTTTCTGGCCATGCCAGTTCATCCTTACCACAAATTTGAATAATAGATATTAGTGTGATTCTTAATTTATATAAGAGAAGAAACTGAGTGTCCCATTACTTTATTTTTATTATGTATTAACTGTGTATTATATATTGCTTATTATGAGCCAGTAACATTAAATATATTATGACAGTGCTAACAAAAGCCTTTTGAGTAGATACCCTTTTACAGATGGGGAAAGTGAAGTATAGAGAGATGAAGCAACTTTCCCAATTGTAGGGTCTTGGAGGTTCAAGCAGGCCTATAAATTCAGGAAGTCTCGTACCAGAGCCTTCTCTCTTGACCCCTGGACATGGCTGCCTTTGTTATTTCATATTTCAAAGAGAAAAAGGTAGTAAATGGCAGAGTAAGGTCTTATCTTCTTCACTTTTGTACTATTTGCAGTCAACTAGTCATTTCAACCTGTGTTGCCAGAGACCCTAGGATGCTGAGGAGTGTCATGGAGTGGGAGGTGGCAGGAGAAATGGTGGAGCAGGGCCCTGGGACCCCAATCTGAAAAACATCAATTGGTTAATATATCAGAGATTTTATGTGCTATTCCTTTTTTTGTTGTTGTTTTAATTTTTAACGCCCAATGACCTTAGGAAGTATGTACTGGGGAGATGGGAGCATATGTAAAATTACACTAAATCATATGGATGAAAGTTTTCAATGGCCATAATCAGTGGAAATTTAAATAACATCTATTTAAAGTGGAAATCTACAAAGTTGTGTTTAAATTTTCAATAAAAGATAACTCCTGATCTAACTCAGGGTGTGAAGCCTACCAGCCACATTGTTGTCACAGTATAATTGGGACAATGGTGCAGACCTATGAAGCCATCAACAAGATAGATATGATGAGCAGGGCTCCTTTATTTAGTCATTAGTTGTTTTAAAATGTAAATATTATTATTCAGGTATGATGAGGGCAACAGATCAGAAGACACCTGCCATTGAAAAGATATTTCTTTACTCACAGTTCCTAAGATGAAGGGGCACACCAGGCCCATAGGGGCCACATGGGGAAACACCAGGATTGGTGACGAGGTAGGAGGAATGAGGGGAAAACACGAGCAAGAGCCTTTATTGTGGTTTCTGAAGGAAGGCAAGGCAAGCAGACTTAGGATAGTCTAGGATGAATAATTTCAGGAGGTTCTGGGACCTGGGGGCTGTCCCTAAAGCCCCATGATGATTAGGTCAGAGGGATAGTGGACCAAGGGCCTTGTGAGAACCCAATAGAGGAGGTGGTTGTGGTTCAGACTTGACATTGGTGGTTTGTATATGAAAGGCGAGCTTGTGGGCAAGTCCTTTACTATCTCTAGGAATTGGCTAACCATTGGAGGGATGGTCTCTCCAGGATCAGCAAGGACCCAGATATCAAAACATCAGAAAATACAGGAAATAGAAAGACACGGTGAATACATTAGTACATAACACTACACATATGGCAAGAGTTATAATTAGATATTAACTCTTTTGTACCTTTTCAACAGCTATTTTATTTACTGCCTAGAGTGCGCCAAATACTGTGTGGGCAGTAGGCTAAGAAGAAACCATCACACGTGGCCTCTGTCCTCACAGAGTTCACAGGCTAGTGGGGGAAACAGGGACAAATGATCATAGGACTGGATGGTGTGAAAAGTTAAGCTAGAGCCTCAACGACCCCAAGGAAGGAATCAAGTCGGTCTCTGTGGGAAGGCCACAGAAAGAAACAGTAACTCAGAATCTGCGTCAAGTCTTTTTGCTGCCTTAGGGAAGGAGACAAAAACAAGCCTGTGAAGTCAGAAAGCAATCTATGGCTTTAAATTTCACCTTCTTGGGACTCAGGTCCCTTTCAGTGGTTTTGTGGATGTGGGTATATGTTTAAGAATTGCTAATGACAGTTATTTTTTTCTCAGTGAGGCATCTCCTATTATTGGAAAAGAGCGTCTTCTCCATGTTGTGTACTCTGTGAAAATGCAGGTATTCACAAATGCTAATTAACAATGAGAACCTCACCACTATCCTAAAGAGGAGCCAGCCCTTCTCTCTTCACGCCCCTGAGTCGTGAGATGGGCACGGAAGTGATGACTAAGAAGCGGGACCTGTCTCTGGCATTGACTTCTCTCCAAGCCTCACTTGGAAAAACTGGAAGATCTTCCAAATTTTTCTCCTTGCTACTAGTTTCTTCCAAATATTTTCACTCTCTCATATTAGTCCACGAGTGCCATTCTTAAAAACAAAGCTGATGATAGCATTTCTTTCTAAAAACAAAACATGTCCCCTGCAGAATAAAACGAGGACTCTTAAGTTTGATATAACCAACTCTTGACAGTCTGGACCTGATCTCGTCCCAACTTCTTTTCTATCCCCTTCCCTAGGTCTTCCATTCTCTTACCACAATGAACTTTTGACTGTTTCCTGGATGTGCTAGCATCTTTCATGTGTCCTTGTCTTGACTCAGGCTGGTCCGTATGCCTAAAATGCTCTTCTTTCCTTTCTTTATCAACTTCTACAAAACCTAGATCAGATGACCTTCCTCTTTGAAAATCCCCTAATTTACCACCATAGGCTGAGTTGGTCTGACTTCACTGCCCTTGTGCCAATATGGCTTGGTCTCATAGAAGTGAACGTGTATTACTGTACTTCATCTGTTTGCCTATGTATCTCACCTTTTGAATTATAATTCAGTTTATATGCCCAGTACTTAGCAAAATGTCTTGATAAGGGCAACAACAAAAACAGTAATAATAATAATAATAATGTCTAGCATTTATTGAGTTATTACAATGTGGGAGACATTATCCTAAGCCTTTTATGTCCATTAACTAATTTTATACTCGCAACGCTAAGGGGTGTGTAATATTCTCATTCGCATTTTGCAAGTGGAGAAAATGATTCATGGAAAGGATAGGTAACTTGCCCAAGATGACACATAGTAAGCATTAAATTAGCGCCTTTTTGAATTGGAATGTGGTGAGCCTCCTGCCCCCTTTTTGTTCTTTCCAGAACATTCCTAGTAGAGGCACTGTTTATTGAGATGAGAGATTTGGAGAAGTCATTGCACAGGGGCCCAATCCATAATAAGCCATTTCAGTGGGGCATATACACAGTAACCCAAGTTCCTTTTGAATTCCTCCTTGTGCTGGAAGAGATGCAGAAAGTGATTTACTTTATTTCCCTTCCCATAAATCTACTTAAAATCAGTAAGAGTAGGGACGCAAGACATACAGTAATCCTGATATACTAAGATCTTATCTGTAAATAAAAATTATATTTCATGGGATTGATTTGATTTGTGGTATGTCTGCCTATAGGTAGCAGTTGGCTATATTATAATGAGTTTTGGTATATGATAATCTCTAGAAGTTTATGTATATTTGTGCATGTCACTATTTCAGTATGTCTTCACAGGTACCATAAATTAAATTGCCACTGTTTACAGCTGAGTTCACCCCCAAAGGAAAGGTATTTTAAAGAAATTGATTTGTGAAAAATATTTGTTTTTGCCATCATCGCAAAAACTCTTTCATGGAGTGTTGGAGATCATGTGCTCTGGCACCAGTCAGATGAATGTCTGAGTGCTGCTTCTGTATTTACTAACATGTGATTTCATGCATGTTACTTCTCCCATGATTAAGTTTCTTGATCTTGAAAATGGAGACAATAACAGTTCCTACCTCAGGGGAGTGCTGTAAGAATTAGAAAGGATTAAGGCCAACTTCATGGGCTTGCAACCTGTGCAATTGCAAAGGGCCCCATACTCAAAAGAGCCTATACTTCTTTTAACGTTCTATTGTTGCGTATTTGAAATTCATCATCTTTTAACAAGGCATCACACATTTTCATTTTGCGCTAGGCCCTGCAATTGTGTAGCCAATCCTGAATAGGACTGTTTGTGAAGTCTGTAGCCCACAGTGCCTGGAACATAGAATAACCCTCAGTAAAATGGCAGCTGTTACTAATTTTGCAAGGGAACTTTTAGTCTACGGGGTATAGCCCCCAGATCCTATTTCTCTGAACTTTTTCAATCTGGTCAGGACTTTGAACCTAATGGTAGGGTGTATCTCATAAGTCCTCATGCATTCGGGTCACACTCGGTTGGTAAACACTCCATTAAGGTCCTCTACCTCATTCTTCCATTTCTCTGTGATTGCACGTCTGATGGAATATGGACTGTGGATGGCTGCTAATTTGAAGTACAGAATCATTCTTTGTAAACATGAGACACATCGCTCAATAAAGGACATAAGATTTATTGTTTTCCTAGTCTGAGAAATGATGGCTTTGGCTGATACACTGCATCACTGACATTGCTCCAGAAAGACGTTTGGAGGAGCACTAATACTCTTTTTTGCTCTTATTATATTGCAGACTATTTGAACTCCTGAAGGACCAACACCAGATAAATTATGAATGTTGAACAAGATGACCTTACATCCACAGCAGATAATGATAGGTCCTAGGTTTAACAGGGCCTTATTTGACCCCCTGCTTGTGGTGCTGCTGGCTCTTCAACTTCTTGTGGTGGCTGGTCTGGTGCGGGCTCAAACCTGCCCTTCCGTCTGCTCCTGCAGCAACCAGTTCAGCAAGGTGATCTGCGTTCGGAAAAACCTCCGCGAGGTTCCGGATGGCATCTCCACCAACACTCGGCTGCTGAACCTCCATGAGAACCAAATCCAGATCATCAAAGTGAACAGCTTCAAGCACTTGAGGCACCTGGAAATCCTACAGTTGAGTAGGAATCATATTAGAACAATTGAAATTGGGGCCTTCAATGGTCTGGCGAACCTCAACACTCTGGAACTCTTTGACAATCGTCTTACTACCATCCCGAATGGAGCTTTTGTATACTTGTCTAAACTGAAGGAGCTCTGGTTGCGAAACAACCCCATTGAAAGCATCCCTTCTTATGCTTTTAACAGAATCCCTTCTTTGCGCCGACTAGACTTAGGGGAATTGAAAAGGCTTTCATACATCTCAGAAGGTGCCTTTGAAGGTCTGTCCAACTTGAGATATTTGAACCTTGCCATGTGCAACCTCCGGGAAATCCCTAATCTTACGCCGCTCGTAAAACTCGATGAGCTGGATCTTTCTGGGAATCATTTGTCTGCCATCAGGCCTGGCTCTTTCCAGGGACTGATGCACCTTCAAAAACTGTGGATGATACAGTCTCAGATTCAAGTGATTGAACGGAATGCCTTTGATAACCTTCAGTCTCTCGTGGAGATAAACCTGGCACACAACAATCTAACATTACTGCCTCATGACCTCTTCACACCCTTGCATCATCTAGAGAGGATACACTTACATCACAACCCTTGGAACTGCAATTGTGACATACTGTGGCTCAGCTGGTGGATAAAAGACATGGCCCCCTCCAACACAGCTTGTTGTGCCCGATGTAACACTCCTCCCAATCTGAAAGGGAGGTACATAGGGGAGCTTGACCAGAATTATTTCACTTGCTACGCTCCTGTGATTGTGGAGCCCCCTGCAGACCTCAATGTCACTGAAGGCATGGCAGCTGAGCTGAAATGTCGGGCCTCCACGTCCCTGACCTCTGTATCTTGGATTACTCCAAATGGAACAGTCATGACACATGGTGCATACAAAGTGCGGATAGCTGTGCTCAGTGACGGCACGTTAAATTTCACGAATGTAACCGTGCAAGATACAGGCATGTACACATGTATGGTGAGTAATTCTGTTGGAAATACCACTGCTTCAGCTACCCTGAATGTGACTGCAGCAACCACTACTCCCTTCTCTTACTTTTCAACCGTCACAGTAGAGACTATGGAACCTTCTCAGGATGAGGCAAGGACCACAGATAACAACGTGGGCCCCACTCCAGTGATTGACTGGGAGACCACCAACGTGACCACCTCTCTCACGCCACAGAGCACAAGGTCGACAGAAAAAACATTCACCATCCCAGTGACTGATATAAACAGTGGGATCCCGGGAATTGATGAGGTCATGAAGACTACCAAAATCATCATTGGCTGTTTCGTGGCCATCACACTTATGGCTGCAGTGATGCTGGTCATTTTCTACAAGATGAGGAAGCAGCACCACCGGCAAAACCATCACGCCCCAACAAGGACTGTTGAAATCATTAATGTGGATGATGAGATTACGGGAGACACACCCATGGAAAGTCACCTGCCCATGCCTGCTATCGAGCATGAGCACCTAAATCACTATAACTCCTACAAATCTCCCTTCAACCACACAACAACAGTTAACACAATAAATTCAATACACAGTTCAGTGCATGAACCGTTATTGATCCGAATGAACTCTAAAGACAATGTACAAGAGACTCAAATCTAAAACATTTACAGAGTTACAGAAAACAAACAATCAAAAAAAAGACAGTTTGTTAAAAATGACACAAATGACTGGGCTAAATCTACTGTTTCAAAAAAGTGTCTTTACAAAAAAAACAAAAAAGAAAAGAAATTTATTTATTAAAAATTCTATTGTGATCTAAAGCAGACAAAATGATGTGTATTCCTCAGAACCTGTTTTTGCTGCACTTATTTACTATTTTCCCACATCTCGTCCCTACCTTCCCTGATTGCCATATTTTTCATAGGAGATCTCAATTCCCTGAAGAACTGGTCTAGGAAATTTTGTAAGAATTCTGTTATACTTTAAGATTTTTATGGTGAATTCTAGTGGTGAGATCCAGTCTATTTTGTCTTTATTTTTTTTCCTCCTTTCTTTTTTTCCCCCTCATGCCCTTATGAAATAGTCCAATGGGGAATGCAATATTAGAAATAGATTTTTAAGAAAGAACGAGGAAAAAAAATGCAAGATCTTATATTTTTCATGTAATGACCTGTTCTGTATTTATGAGGAGGACCATTCAATGGAAAAGAAAAAAAGTAAGCAAACAACAGATTAATTTACATATGAGCATCTATAAAACCCATGATCTTTTAAACGACTCTAGAACCAGAATTTGTAGTTCAAAAGCTAAAAATAAGATTATAAATAAAATATTGTTGGTTTTTCTGTACTTGGACACAATTCATTTGTAGTATGGCTCAAATGTGAGAAACTTGAAGGTAATTAGATTTCCTACTTTCCAAGAAAGAAAATGCTACAGTATTTTTCAGTCACAGCATTCATCTCTACAGGGTCCTGTTCCATTAGTTGACTTGAGTTTGGGATCTATATTCAAGAATGCTGTGGTATTTTTTCCCTTCTCATTAGGTCACCCTTTGTAGAATGCACAGATTAAAAAAAAATAATGATTTTGTGTAGTAAATTGAATTCCACTTGGAAGAAAGTTTCAGTATACTTTATTCACTGTCTCCTAAATAAAACTCTACTGGCTACATGATGTACAGCCACAGAATGCAAAGGTATTCTGAATTATCTAAGTTGAAAAATCATTTTTGGTGCTGAGTGCCAGAAAATTTAGTTCAATTCGGCAGTAATTATGAAAGATCTACTATATGTTAAACACTGATTTTAGTGTTGTAGGCACACAATTGACAAGACCCGGTTCCTGCCCTTGAATCACTCGTGATCTATGTGAAATAGGATTAAAGAAATATCAGCTTATTACTGAGGGCCAGCTCTAATTGTTATGGAGAAGGCTGCAAATTGGGCCTCCGGAGTTTCAAAATATCAGGTTGCTGTTATTCCAGAAACCTCCTTGATTCACAGTTTCTTCTATCCTTCTGGAAGAGTTGACTCTCTTCTTCCAAATGCAGATTGCGGAGCTGTAAAGAAGTATGAGTATGGATTTGCTGTGACAGATAGATGCATACCAAGACATAGCAATGCTAATACAGTGATAATTCACTGCAAGTATTTTAAGGACCTGTAGAAATTTTAGGTATGAGAACATATGCTAGCCTCCAAGTGAAAAAGAAACTTGCTGGTTATTGGCACCTAGGCACTCTGCTAACATTTTAATACAGTGTGTGTAGGACTTCTGTCTTTATCTATGTGAAGCAAAGTGAAGGTACACACCTCTTATTCACGGCCCTTGAAACCTACCACCTTGTTGGTGAAACAAGGGTCGGCCAAGATAGAGAACACTTCGGCTCCTGATGGATGAGCAGCTTGGACGCTCGTACTTCACTCTGCACACTGGACCTCACACCAGGGTTTTGTGATCTTCAGGTGTGAAAAGCCAGTAATTACTAGCAAAGTCGGTCAGAGAACTGGGAGGGAGTGATAACAGATGAATGAGACCACACAAAGGTCTTACCTCTATTTTTCAATCACTAATTCTCTAGTGGCTTTTCCCTCCTTCATTTCCTCCTTCCCTTTGTTAGGAACATAATTCACATTTGCTTTTACTGTGGAGAAGATGCAAGAAAAGGGAAAACACATATTGGCTGTCGTTTGTCCAGCTATTCAGTATCAAATGTACTTAATATATTCCCAAGCTGCAAATCACAAAACAACAAATAATGCAGTAAGGAATAGCAAGCAAGTGCTAGTACAAAGAATGAAATAAATCAAGAGGGGAGAGAATCCTGCCTTGTCTACTTGGTTTGTGCTCTGCAAGTTCTGTCTTTGCTGACTGTAAACCGTCTTTCATTTTGAGCTTATAATTCTTATGGAGTTAGTCCCAGCACACAATTCCTCTTGACTATGAGGGGTGGCTGAGCAGATAGATAAATTCTGCCAACTAACGTGAAAGGTGAACTCGAACTAAAAAAGTTAGGTAAGAAACTAAAGCATACAATTCAGTCCAACAGAAGATTATAGTTGCCCTAGTGAATACATTTTAGAAAAAAAGTTGATCAAAATTGGTTAAGCCAAACTTGACTTTCACGGTAAGTTTAGAAATGCTTTTGATGAAAACTCTTCGTTGCAGGTTTTGGGGTTGAAGGGTGGCGTGCTATAAAGGTATTATTGAAAGGACACTAAAACAAATTCTGGGTGTTTATGATTAGCAGTGTCTGTGTTTGCTCTGCATAGTGTACTTGGCTTTCGAGCCCTTAGGACAGTAGCTGCACTGATGTCTCTCTAGACCGTCGCACACTGGGGTGTCCTTGGTTCAGCAGAAAGCCCAGGTGACTCTTTAAACATCCGGTATATCCTTGCAGCAAAACACAATTCTGGTCCATCACTCTTTTTATTCTATCTGAAGACAGTATTCTTAAATATTTATGCTCCAAAAATATGCCATTTACCAAGTTACGGTAACCTAATGATAATTTAGTATATATCTATATATCTATATCTATCTATATGTGTTTTCTACTAAAGGTATGCAGTTTGATTTGCGGAAACATCAAGGATGCTTTAGAAAGAAGATTCTCCATTATTTTCTATTCGAGAAACTTACTCTTTTTTTGGGGGTAAGATAGGCCCTGAGCTAACATCTGTCGCCAATCTTCCTCCTTTTGCTTGAGGAAGATTGTCCCTGAGCTAACATCCATGCCAATCTGCCTCTACTTCATACGTGGAACGCCACCACAGCATGGCTTGATGAGCAGTGTGTACTTCCGCACCTGGGATCCAAATCTGTGAACCCTGGGCCGCCAAAGCAGAACATGCAAATTTAACCACCTACACCACCAGGCTGACCCCTCAAGAGTCTTACTCTAATACCCTGGCTATGACTTTGATCTCTTAAATTCTTTTGAATATGTCCAAATATTTGCATTGGCAAAATATTAGAAGGATTTGGTATGGTTCACACACAGACACCCTGATAGAGCTTTAAGCATGTCCCCTCCTATTCTGAATATTCGAGAATCAAATATCATCTTTTCTAAAGGTTGAAATAGGTCATTCGACCTTGGAACATTGATCAACGTTTTCTTGAGGAAGAAAATGTTGCTAGTCCATGATTGCTCTTAGGCCTTTTAATCAAAGAGTTAAAAATCAGGATATTATTTGAGACCTGCATACCATGAAATTCTGAATATACATCTGCTGGAGAATTACTTGACAATGGAAGAGTTATTTATATGGGAGAAAGAAAAGGAAGAAGGCATTTTTAGAACAAGAGTTACTGAAACATGAAATAAAATATTAAGTGGATGGCCCCATCCAACATTTCTAAGGTAAATATTGGTCAAGGTAAAAAAAACAAAAGCTGATTCTTTTATTCTTTTGGGATACTTTTCAAGATAGAAGAAGAGTCAGATTAGTGCTTACGAATACAGCATGGTGCTCTGAAACAATGTAATTTTTAAATAAAATATTCAATTGTTTAGTTGGTATTTCAGCTATTAATATATTGAAGATATAGATATCAAGAAGTATCCCAGACATAAAATGTGAATGCCTGTGAAGCGTCTCTTCTAGGAAGCCATTTGTCTGTTTCTCATAAAATATAGTAGCATAGTCAAATCTCTCATAAAAACATCCCTCCCCAAACTATATATATCCATCATTATATTTGATTATAATATGATTTCTATACAAAAGCTATTTCAAATAGAAATAAGTCTAAAACATTGCCTTAAAACTCCAGATACCTTCTATTTTTTTCTCTTCTACCGTAAGAAGAAATCTGAATTTCTAGAAACTCTGCATTAGATAGATACCAGCTGTAACACAGTTGTCTTCCCATGCTCTATCAGGATTCAAAATAAGATACATCTGGCTCTATAAGAGAAAAAAAGAAATCTCCTAGAATTAATGATAGCACACTGTCAATTAAGATCCAAATTTAGATGCTGAATGAAGAATTCTTACAACACATAGTAGTTCATATCATTTTGCTTCTTCAAGTACTGCCAGCAGAACTTCTGAGATTTCAACTTTTCTTAACATTATTTGAGAAATATATAAAATTATATAAATTATATAACAAATGTTCAGCAGCGGTAAGTTCAAGTACTGTTCATTTTGCTTTTGCCCGGGATAAATATAAAGAAAAGAAAGAGGGAAGGAGGTTGCTGCAAGACAGAAAATAAATGAAGCTATTTTAATGAAAGCACACGATGTTGGAAAAATCCATCCATTTTGTAAATTTTGTTATCAACAGTAAACAAGGATACTCATATATATCCTGTGCAAAATACAGTAAGCAAGGACCTCTGGAACTCCAGACCATGAAGACTTATCTTTGAATATTTGGTACAGAAATTTAACTTCCTTTTCCAGGTTATTCATGCTGCACTTTATTATATATTTGATGCTGAGTTGCTGAATTTGAACTTGTTCAAATGGCATCAACCCTGCCTTGATCTGGTTGGCAGAAATAGTGAATATATGGCTTTTTACCCTCATGAAAGAGAAGATTCAATGTTGTTGAGAGGAGAGGGGCTGGTCTCTGTGGTGGCAATAGAACCAATTCTAGTTTATTTCCTCCAGTCTTGAGAACTTGGCAGAATATCCACCTAGCTCAGCCCCGGGACTTCAGGACAGAAACCCATTATGGGAACTCCTAGCGTTTATTATGTTGATACATCAGTAAGACTTTTGAATGACAGTTAGTAAATCTCCTTAATTCCCAGTCCTTAGTTCCGCATTAAAAGAGGTTAAAAAAAAATGGAACTCAACACTTGTTATCTAAGCACAGTTCGTTTTGTAAAGTGTATAGCGCTCTAAGACAAATAAGTGAAGCTTCAGTCCAGTTAAATATATTAAAACATAAGAGTAATTATGACATATTTTATGGTATATACTTTTTATGGTAGCTACTATAAAACTTTAGAAAGCAATTTGTAATACTAGGGAAATCATGGTTTTCTTTACTAATAAAATCATTATGAAGAAAACTTAACCTTAATAAAATTTCTAAAATGCCTCAAAAGTCAAATGTTGATGTGGATTTCCAGGTCCTATGGCTAGTTCTATTTAAAAAAAATAGTTTTACAAAATGAAAAAGAGAAGTAATAAAGTTTCTGTTTCTAGCAGCCCTCAAGCAGACTAACTCATGCTTGTAAAGATATTTCTCAGCATAAATGGGCTGTTAAAGAATGAACTTCACTTAATTCTGACCATAAAAACGTCATGTAGCTATGTGTTCTCATCTAAAATTGTTTCAAGAGTCTGCAAACAAGTCTCCTAAAAAATTAATGCCAGCTTTTATGT